CCATCATCCCATTTTATCTGTTCGATATGCTGAAATTATTTGGGATTTTGAGATAAATGTGATGTTCTATGTACACAGAATACATTGCCTATCATAAAAATTTATCTATGATTCCCTGTCCCCAAAAAAGGTTAAACTGGTAAGTTTTATGTATATTTACCACAATTTTTAAAATGAGAAAAAATAGCAATAATGCCTGCCTGGCTTATCTCCCCAGGGAGATGGGGGACTTAGGGAGATATGGATAGGAATGACCCCTGATAAGCCCTGGATAAGACCCCATAGAGAAGGGAAGGAGGATTCGTTTTTGGAAGCCCCAACCTCAACAAGGTTTAGTCCACCCTTTGTGTAGTCTCATACCAGTTAACATGAACCTCATGAGCACATTTAATACTTTGGCACCAAAAGCATTTGACCCATCCTAAAGGCCAACTTCTCTATCTATGAGAATCAGTAGAGTTGCCAAGAAACCCCCACTCTGACCTCAGCAGTCATGGCAGTGTTGCTCCATCCTGCCGGGCTAGAAGGGAGTAGATGCCAGTGACCACTGGACCCAGGCCACGGGCTTTCCCCTTTTTTATTCAATAAACAATACCTTATCATGCTAACTGAGATAAGTCAGATGGGAAAAGTTGAGAACCATATCTGATTTCACTCATATGTGTGATATAAAACTGAAAGCAAAAAATGAGTCTTCCAGTCAAGATGGTGGAATAGGTAAATGCTGTGCTGGCCTCCTCTCACAACCACATAAAAATTGTAACCAAACTACAGAACAACCATCATTGAGAACCTCCTGAAGTCTAGCTGAACAGAAGTCCTATAACTAAGGACATGCAGAAGACGCCACCTTGAAACTGGTAGGAGCAGCGGAGACGTGGAACAGCTGGTCCCACACCCATGTGTGGTGGTTAAAAATCAGGAGGGCTATCTCGGCTGTGGAGGACTCCCCTGGGGAGTCGGAGGTCTCAGGCCCACACTGGGCTCCCCAGCCCAGGGTCCAAGTGCCAGGAAGAGGAACCCCCACAAGAGCTGGCCATGAAAATCAGTGGGTATTCCATTCATCCAGGTGATAAGGAAAACTGCTGGACACCCGGACATCCCCTTAAAGGCCCACGCACAAACTCGCTACTTGCAGGCACTTACCCTGGGTTCCCGAGAAGAGACAGCAGCTCAGGAGGTGCCAGACACATACAGGGAGAGACTGAGTTGTGTGGCCTCACAGCCAGGGCCGGAGGGACACAATCCGCTGTCCCTGTGCCAAGCTCTCCTCCTATGCAGCCAGCAGGCGGGCGCCATCTTTCCTGTGTTGAGTCCTCCCCCCCCACGGTCAAATCTGAATCTGATTGGCCTGGTGCGCTCTGCTCACTTCGCCCTGGTGAATCTCTGGGGCCCTGCCCCACCCTCTCAGGCATCACCACAGGCTCTTTCGGTGGCGGGCAGCCACCCCAGCCCGTGTTGCAAACTTTCTTGGACAACTCTCGAGGGTCCATGGACCCCAGATGGGTGACGGACAGCCTTAGCATGCCCTGTACCTCTGGCTAAGCAGCCCCAAGCCCAGCACTAGCGGCAGCTGGCCTCAGTTCACAGCTTACCTCTCCCAGGCACCTCCAAGCCCAGTGCAGGTGCCAACCATCTGCAGATCACTTTGTAACTCCTACCAAGTGGCCCCGGGCAGGGCACAGGCAGCAGTTGACCTTGGTCTGCAATGGAGGCCCTCTCAAGAGGCCTTCAGAACCAAAACACCAGGTAGCCAGCTTCAGACCACACCAGAGCACCATCCAACCACCTCCACAGATGACATACCCAAAGGGCAGACTGGGCAGGCACCAGAGCCCTGCTAAAGCAAATCCTGCTCTGTAGGGTCAGCCCCTGTACAACAGCTCCTCCACTGTAGTCACCAGCAGTCCTCGCAGCCAGTCAGCCCGAGGGTCAATCCCTCCCATTGACATGCCGACAGCGACCAAGGCTCAACTACAACAGGATGGCACACACAACCCACACAAGGAACACACCTGTAGCACCTGGCTCTGGTGACCAGGAAGATTGCACCACTGGGCCCCACAGGACACCCACTACATAAGGTCACTCTACCAAGACCAGGAGACATAGCAGCCCTACCTAATACATAGAAACAAACACAGGGAGGCGGCCAAAATGAGGAGACACAGAAACATGTCCCAAATGAAAGAACAGGACAAAACTCCAGAAAAAGAACTAAACAAAATGGAGGTAAGCCAACTACCAGAAGCAGAGTTCCAAACACTGATTATAAGGATGCTCAATGATCTCAGGGAGAACTTTAACAAAAAGTTAGGACACATAAACATGGAGGTAGAAAACATGAAAAAGTCAGAAGTGAAGAATACAATAACTGAAATGAAGGATACATTAGAGGGAATCAACAGTAGGTTAGATGAAGCAAAGGACTGAATCAGCCATTTGGAAGACAAGGTAGCAGAAAACACCCAATCAGGACAGGAAAAAGAAAAAACCTACGTATTGTGCCAGGTGGGTACTAGACTAATTAAGGGGCTCACTTTGTAAGTTACATAAATGTCTAACCACTATGGTGTACACCTGAAATTAATATAATATTGAGTGTCAACTATAATTGAAAAAATACAAAATTATTTTTAAAATTAAAATAATAAAAAGCAGGGGAAAAAGAAAACAATAAACGAACAAGACAAACAAAAACTCATAGACACAGACAACAGTTTAGTGGTTACCAGAGGGTAAAGGGGGAGGGAGAGGGAGAAAAGGGTAAAGGGGATCAAATATATGGTGATGGAAGGAGATTTGGATTTGGGTGGTGAACACACAATGCAAAATACAGATGAAGTATTACAGAATTGTATACTTGTAACCTATATAACTTTATTAAGCAATGTCGCCCCAATAAATTTAATTTTTAAAAAACTTAAAAATGAACAACGGCTTCCCTTTCTTTCTGGCAACTCTTGGAAGCTCTCTGCCGGTTCCCTATGTCCCCCCAGCCCTGGCCCTGTAGACTCCATCTGGGGACTGGGACTCTTGAACATCAGTGGCTGCTTTTCCTCTGCACCTCACACTTGCCATGCTTCCCCCAGCCCACCCCCACGTAGGTAGCCAGTGCTCCTGACACTCCCCTATTATTATCTCACTGAGATGGTCAAGAGGGTTAATTATTGATGTTGACATTATGAACCTTGTTACTCCTCTTGAAGATCATGTTCATTAACAGCTGTATTTTGAAGTTTTCATTGCCTCAACACAATTGTCTAGCTGTTTTCCACTCTTGCTATGCATTACAATTACCTGGAGAGCTCTTGAAAACCACCCATACCCAGACAACCTCCCCAACCTAATCACATGAGAAGCACAGCACAGTCATTACTCCAGCAGACTAATTACCTCTCCATGTCTTTGTATGCAGTGGGTCCCAGTCCTTGACCGACACAAAGAATCAGCAGGAGAGTTTAGCCAATCTCCACCAGTCCTTCCCAGCCTGAGCAGGGCCTGTCAATTGCAGTATCCTTTTAAATTTTCAAGTTGTTTCTTTCTGTATTGTACTCCCATCTCCACCCTCGTTCTTTCTAATAGCTTATTTTTCTCAAATCCGCATTTCTCAAAGTATACGCTATAGTGATAGTAGGGGAGCTGTGAAAAATCAAGGAGTTAGTGGCTGGTTGGCTGATAATGGCTCCCCAGATCTGCCCAGTCCCAGACCCCAGAACCTGTGAATATTATCTTATTTGGAGGTCGTTACAGATGTAATTAAGTTAAAGATATTGAGATGAAAATACTATTGTAGATTATCTGGGTGGGCCCAAGATGCCACCACCAGTGTCCTTATAAAGAGAGACAGGAGATTGGACACACAAAAGAGGGAGAGGCCATATAAAGATGGAGGCACAGATTAGAATGGTACAGTCACAAGCCAAGGCACGCTGGCCAGCAGCTTCCAGAAGCTGGGAGAGGCAAAGAACGGATTCACTCCTAGAGCTTCTGGAGGCAGTGAGTCCCTGCCAGCACCTGACTTTGGAATTCTGGCCTTCAGAACTGTGACAATCAATTTCTGTTGCTGTAAGCCACACAGTATAGTCATTTATGGCAGCCTTAGGAAGCTAATACAGTCACCAAATGAGTTTGGTAACTCTTGTCTTTATAGCAGAACTTTTCTGAAACCTTTCCTATGGTAATGGGCATTGTTTCCTAAACACAGGCCCTGGACAAGTGTTCCCCAGAATACATCTGGTACTAGGCCATACGCTAGCCAGTAGCTATGACACAAGACCGTTATGTATGACAGAGAGAGCTACTACATCTACCCTTTCAGAACCTACTGTCCATTCATGTATGAACTCATTCAGTAAATATTTATGAGGACCTACTATGTATCAGAAACTATTTAAGGCATTGGATATATAGTGATATGAAAAACCAAAATCATATCTCTTGTCAAAAGTATATTCCAATGGAGTCATCAATACACAAATAATCAAATAAATAGCAGATGCTGTGAAGACTATAAAACAAGTGAAAGCATAGAGAAGGATGGAGTGGCTACTTTCCAGCGCATCTGAGAAGGCCAGGCATTGCATCAGGTGATTTACCTACATGGATCTCATGTGACCCTCTCAACAATAACTTCATCCTTGTTATATGACGTACCTTTTATCTGCACTTTGCAGATGAGGAATCTAAGGCTCAGAGAAGTAAAACGATTTTCCCAAATCATACAGCTATTAAGTGGCTAACGTGGGATTGAAAGCCAGGCCTGCCAGACACCAAGCAAAGCCCACATACTACCGTGTTTCCCCGAAAATAACACCGGGTCTTATATTAATTTTTGCTCCAACATTCTACATTTATTCATGTACAGAAATCTACATTTATTCAAACAGTCATGCCTGGCTGACGATTTTAACTGGGGCTTATGTTTGGGGCAGGGCTTATATTACGAGCATCCTGCAAAATCATGCTAGGGCTTATTTCCCAGTTAGGTCTTATTTTTGGGGAAACACAGTACCACCACGTTACATGGTTCCTGTACTCAGTCAGACTCACACTGAGATCCTGCAAAGTGGAGGTAAAAGCTACGTCATATGACTTGTTCAGTGATTCCCAGTGGAATGGATGGTTCCATGGGTGAGAAGGCTGCACGCAGGAGATCAGATGGCAAAAGATACTTCAAGTCAGAGACTTGCCCTGCAAAATTATTTCAACCCTTTTCTATGTTTGGAAGGTACCCATAGGGTACTGAAACTTCCTGCTTCCTCCCCTGGGTCTTCTCGCCTCTCCTTTCTGTCCTGCCCCATCACCTGGGGCCCTCAGGGCAGAGCCCCAGGGTCCAGCTAAAGGAAGTGTTTACGCCTTCATAGCTCTGAGCCGGAGATGGTGTAGGACTCAGGTAGACACCAGCCAAGCAGTGGTGTTGTCCGCGAGTGGGCCCTTCTCGGCGCAAAGTCCAGGTCCTTGGCAACTCAAGCAAAGAATTGACCGAGATACCAGAGTAAAAAGTAGTTTATTAGAAGAAGTAGTACATTTCAAAGAGTTTGGAGCGGGCCACGCGCAAAGGCGAGGCTCCGAAGGCTCAAAAAAGGGAGGAAGGGGTTAAAAAAGGGAAGAAGTGGTCAAAAACAGAGCAGGGCGGACTTCCCAGGACTTGGAGTTTTTACCCCCTTTCTCTAGAATGGGCTGTTCCCCTATGGGCGTGGGACCACTTGATTGGCACCTGTGCTTGACAAGTGTACTGCGCAGGTGCGAGTGACTGGTCTGATCTAGTTTGGTATTTTGTGCCCATTTGTTTTCCCACAGGGGTAGGTAATTACAATACAAAGGGGAGTTTAGGGTGGAGAGGGGATGTCCCCTTGGCTGTCCCACTCTGTGGGATGTGCAGGAATGCGGAGACCCAATGCCTGTCTCTAACTGCCTGCCTTGTTTTCCCCTTTGAGAGATGCGATCCCCGTGAAATCTCTATGGGAAGTTGAGGGACAGGAGGTCTCTTCTGTATCTGCTTCCTGCTTGGCAGGGGCGTAGAGCTGTCCCTGCCTATTGGGGGATTCACGGAACTCTCGCCCTAGCTGATCTCAGATGAGAGGAAGGGGTCTCGAGCTCCCCCTGGAAGACCCTGTTGGCTTCTTTGGTTGTGACTGACAATCTTGTTGGGGTATCCTCTGTATCCCCAAGGCCCCTGAATGAGGAAAAATAGATTTTAATTAATAAATCTGGTAGCTCTCATGAAGCCTGTGGTCATTTAGCCTGTCACTCAGGTGGCGTCAGTTGTCTGGATTCAGAATGGGTTTGGCATTTAGCTTACTGGCCTGGGGGATATTATGAAGTCACAGACTTCTAAGTAGTTGTCTGAAGCAAGGGTAGGAGATTTCTATGAACAATCTACTGTTAGGATTTAGAAACTGATTTACAAAGCAATCAAGAAGCAGGGGGATAGGAGAATTCTAGGATTCAGGCCAGGAGCAATCTTTAGTCTAGGATTCACACAAACAGGTTAGAAGTGTAATAATCAAAGCCAGGGGCTAAGGAACTAAGAAATTAGGGAGGAGACTTTCCATTTCTATACTTAACATTTCTATAGGAAAGAACACTTAAAAGTTTCTCAGTGGTTAGGGGGCTGCTTGGTTGGACGGTAACAGTGGAAAGTTAGGGTATGCTCGCAACAGCATGTGGCCCAGTTTGGCTAGAATATTCTAGCGAGTAGAGAATCAGGCCAGGCGAGAGGCTGAGGCCAGATCATGGAAAGCCTCCATTCTCTGGGCTGGTGTTAGTCAAAGCGTGTCCTGCAAACAACTGGTGTTTTGGAAAAGTAATAGCAGTGACAGGAAGGGGTGTTATGTGAGAAAATAAAGGTCCCTTGTCAATAAGTTGGAGTTCACAGACTCTTTCTATGCCAGACTTCCTGGACCTGACATGAGGGCACAGTGGATGCCATGCTCATGGAGAAGATGGATGGACATGCACTAGAGGCAGAGTGGGCTGGAGGCAGCCAATCAGAGCTGTGGCTCCCATCTGTAAACCATCCCTACTAACTTGTGTCCCTGCACCCACCTGCTCCTAAAACCATCCCCCTTCTTCCAGCTCTTTCCCTAACCCCACCCCCTCCATTCTCCTCAGCTATCCCACCCTGGGCCCCTTCACATGCCGGCACTTCTCTAGCTACACTATAAGCTGCAATGATTTATAAATACTTTGGGTAGTTATCTGAAAGACCACTATTCAGTGGCAAATATACAAAACCATTCATCCAACTTCCACAGAGGGCTTTCCTACCTAAGCTATTCTCCCCAAACTCTAGAGTCTTTAAAAATATAATTTGCTTTTTTTTTTTTAGACCCAGACAGGCTCAGCTTTGAGCTTTACCACACTGTTGGTTTCCATAGTAACTCTCCCTAGTTCCGGACTCTTGTCCTCGTTTTCTGACCAGGTGCCCAACCGTGGAATGCCTGAGGAGCTGCCTTGTTACGGCTCAGCCGCTCTGGAACCTGGCTTGAGGATTTGCATGATGAGAAGCACACCCATCGCCAGGCCCAGCTTCGTGCCCCTCTGCTCCTCTTAACTTCACATGATGGCCTTTTCCAGCCAAAACAGTAGAGCAGGGTGGTTAAGAGTGTGGACTTTGCAGCTAGAGCCTTGGTTTGAAATCCAGGCTCTGTCACTCACTCACTGTGAGCAAGTTACCGAACGATGTGAGTCTGTCCCCTCATCTTTAAAATAGGAATAGAGGGCAGCCGGTTAGCTCAGTTGGTTGGAGCGCAGTGCTCATAACACCAGGGTTGCCCGTTCGATCCCCACATGTGCCACTGAGTTGTGCCCTCCACAGCTGCATTGGAATAACTACTTGACTTGGAGCTTGGTTCTGGAAGGGCACACTGTTCCCCAATAAAATTTTAAAAAATAATAAAATAAAATAGGAATAGAACTAGAACCTACCTCAAAGACTTGTTAAGAGGATTTGCACGTGTAAAAGCGCCTCAAACAGCCCCTGGCACATGATGAGGGCTATGCAAGCGCTACTGATGAAGACTATTGTTTTTGTGGCCCATCTGTCAGGTCATCCACAGACATTATGGCTGAGCAATTACTGTAGGATTCTGTGAGGGAGGAACTTGTAGTTATCATATGGGAAGGGTATTTTCAATTGGGTGCCTTCTCGAGTTCTTTCTAAGTCCAGCTTTTAGGTCCAGTCCCTTCTGTACCTGCAGCTCAGCATAGACAGCCCAGCCAGCTGGGGTTTGCATCTGAAAGAGACCTCCCATCCCATCACCCATGAGGGCAGCTGGCTTGGTGCCTAGTTGGAGAAATATGGGCTCAACACTAATAGGAGGCAGGGCTTGGGCCATGGCAGTGCTGAGCAGGACATGGGGACAATGTGGTAGTAGGATTTTAGGAAATTTGTTTGGCTTGTTGACACCCTTTCCAGGAGGCCAGACATTCCAGGCAGGTAGAGTCCAGACTGTAGTCAGGCCCATCATCAAGGGGCCTCAAGCAGGGTCCCGAGAAAGCAGCCTAAAGCACAACTGGGGCCCTCCATGGTAAGGACATGTGGAGGGGCACTACTCAGCAGCTTCTGCTCAGTGAGTGCCTTTGAGGTGGGCACCCGGGTTTCCAGGCCGTGCCTTTTCTTCATGGGAGCCCAGCAGCCCGACTGCCTGCTCCTTAGGGATAGCGACCTTCCTGGCAGCCACCTCACCCAGCTTTGCAGTCCCACTTTCATTTGGGCAAAAGGACCCCAGGCTCTCGGCTGGTGATATCTACTGAAGGACACAAGTCCTAATCCCTTCTCATGGGGTTACCCCGAGAGCCTCAGGCACAGCCTATGTTCTCTGAGGACTGAGAGGTTAAAGGTCGCCAGACAGTGGGAAAAGGGAAAAGGCCCAGGAATCTGGAAGCAAAGTGAGCCTGCTGGGAGGACAGGCAGCTTTGCAAAAAAGTTGCAGGGATATACAAAGAACTCCGTTATATCCTTTCCCCATGTCACCAACTGTTGGCATGTTTCCCCATTTGCTTCATCCTTTGTATATTCTCTCTCGCTCTGTATGTCTGTTTTCCAAGTCACATGAAAGGAAGTGGCACATGTGATAGCCCTTGACCCCTAGATGCCTCAGTGTGTATTTCCTACAAACAAAGACATTCTTTTACATGGTCAAAATAGCAAAATAGCATGGATATAAGATTTCTATGTAATCCCCAAGCTCTATTCAAATTTCACCAATTGTCCCAAGTTTTAGCTTAATTTTAATTTCCTTTTTGATAGCTTTTTAATCACAGAGCTAATACTGCAATACAGTCTCCTTGTAAAACATTACAGATAAAGCCAAAGAAATCGTTGCTGAATGCCACCCTCCATCCCAGGCCCTCTAACCTTAAAAGGCATCATAGTGTAACAGGTCAGAGCATGAGGCCTTTGCCACTTGCTGGCTGTGTGGGTTCGAGGGAGTTCCTTAAACTGTCTGTGTTGCTGTTGTCTGTAAGACAGGAATGATAATAGTAACAATGTCATAGGTGCTACATAGTCTTGGGTATTAAATGAATTAAAGTCTTAGAAGAGTGCCCGGCACATAGTTAAGTAATCAATAAACATCAGCTGTTAGTATTATCCTGTTTGGCCTCACTCCGTGGGGCCACCTGAGGAAACGCAAGAAGCGAAAATGCTGATGACTTCACTGCAAGGGATGGCCCAGCTGAGCGATATAGGGGGATAGCCCCCACCTGTTCCCTGTGAGAGCGACTGGGATTCAAGAATCATCCAGGTCAGGTTTCCATCATCAGATTTTTGTGCAGTGTTGTTCCCTGCACCTCTGGAGAGTCTGGACAGGCCCAAGCTGCGGTGGAGTTCCAGGTACAGGGTGGAATGGGGACCGATGCACATCGACCCCAGAGGTGAGGGACTTTCCATGCCAGGCCTTCAGGAGCTGGCCTGCAATGGAATGGAGGCTTCTGGGAGCACTACAGACTATCCTGGGGGTGTTGCAAAACGGGTCTGGCACTCGGCAGATGATTGCTTGGTCGTCCAGGTCCCTCATCCTGGAGAGTCTGACATGTCTTCTCCCTGCTCAGGGGTAGGAGCAGAGTGAGAATAGTGAGGGTGCGCTGAGGTTTACCAATGCTCCCTCTATGGGGCTGTGTGGTAAGTCAGCTGTGGCTCCTATAAAAACCAGTCTTTGGGCAGCAGCATGCTTGCATGGGGGGAGGAGCAGGGTCTCCAGCCCCAGCGATCCGTTCAGCACATTAGAAAGCAGCCTGGATAGGAATATTGACAGAAATCCTGCTGGCTGAGTAGCCCGGAACAAGTCACTTCACTTCTCTGAACCTCCACCTCCATTCTTCATAACGGGTCTGGTAAACTCTGCATCTCCAGGTGGCTGAAAAGTTTAGAAGAGATCATGTGTATGAAAGTATGGGCTTGCTGAATGGAAGCTATTTTTATTTAATAGATTCCAGGCACTTCTGGGGACAGGATGACAGGAAGGTCATTGTCCTTGGTGGTGGGGCTTGGGTCTGGAGGCACCTCCAAACCCCTCTACCCTCCTGCTTTTGCACATCCCTTCTTTTCCAGCAAGATTGACTGCCCATCGCCTGACAAGCTCTTTCTTACTTCCTTGCCGTGGCACCTGCTGTGCCCGCAGCTTGAATTGCTTTGTCTCCCTTTGCCACCTGACAAATGGCAGCAACATCCTCCTTCCCTGGTCCCCAAAAGAATGAGCAGCCTATCGCTTGCAATCTTGCCCCCAGGGGCCTGCACTGCCTAGGCAGCAGCCTCTGGCCCCAGCACTTAGAGAGGGCGTGCTTCACAGGAAGAGGGACAGAGGGATGGTCCCCAGGCCCTGGGCCTCCCTGTGACTTCAGCTCTCCTTCTCTTGAGAAAGTCAGAGCCTGCAGGAGGACCAGGGTCCCAGAACAGTCTAGAGCAGACCCACGCCCCTTCGTGAGGCTAGGACTCTTGTTACTTTAGTGAGAGAAAGGCTCTGCCCCAGCCTAGGCCACGGGGGCTTGGGCCTCACTGAGCCTGCTCCCCTGACAGCCTGGGCCTGGTGGCCAATCCAGGAGCATTTGGAGCAGGGCTCCAGGGGGCTGGCAGAGGGGCTGCAAGAGAGGCTGTGAGTCAGCAGACACTGAGGAGGGGGAGGAAATGGCCCACATACCTGGCTGGTCTGACAGACAGCTGTGGAGGCCCTCCTTCCTGTGAGGGACTGGGCCCAAGGCTCAGACCTCCGAGCCTCCCATCTCCCCAAACCACAGCCCAGAGGTGTGAAAAAAAGAAAAAAAAACAGGGGGAGGGGTGCCAGAGAAGAGACAGGTGCACATTTCACACCTTGACCACAGGTGGGGCCCGGAGCAGCTTCACTCTGACTAACTTCCTCTTAAGCCTTTACAAGAGCTTAGAGTGCATGCCCCTGGCTGGAGGGGTCTCCCCAAGGCCTGGTCTGGGGGCTGCCTGGGAGGGGTTGCTTTAAAACGTTACTAGAAAGGAAGGAAACTGCCTCTCGCTGGGCACCTATCCTGTACCAGGCACTTCCCACATGTGTTGCTTGCAGTCCACAGAGCAACCCTATCACATATGTACTATCTTCATCCCTGCTTTTCAGATGAGGAAACTGAGGTAGAGAGGTGAAATGATTTGCCTGCAATAACACAGCCGGGCAGCCAGGATATTAGGCCAGGACTGGCCAAACCCTCCCAGCTAAGGCAAGGGGCAGTCTTTGTGGGGGAGCCACCCTCGGGCCAAACCAACATGTGCATGCTCCACAAGGCAGTGCACTCGATACAGGGGCGCCCAGTGCCTCTAGCTTTGTAGCTAATATCCCTCTCACTCAGCATTCTCAACTGGGCCCTGTGCCAGGGGCCTGAGAGCCTTGGGAATCTCAGTTGGTTTTATAATAACTCTGCTGAGGAGACCAGCTCAAACCAGTTATGTCATGTGTCCAAGGTCACACAGCTCCACTAGGGTGGAGTCAGGACTGGAGTTCAGCATTCTTCCCACCGCATCAGGGCCATACGGTCACACATCCATACAGCAAGCAGCAAGGGAGAGCTACCTGCCCCACTTCCGCAGGCTGGCCTGTCGGGACACAGCCCTGAAACTCAGGCAGGAAAGCTCTCGGCACCTCCCCAAAGGTCTTGTCTGATGTGCTGTCATTGCTCCTTCCCAGCAAGCAGGGAAGGTGGGGATCATTGTCCCCATGTGACCAATGAGGAGACTGGGGCACAGGAAGGAGACCAGGGATCCCTAGACTGCAAAGTGCCACAAGGACCACCAACATTGCAAGATATGTGTGGAGGACCCACAGTGGGTTGTCAGCTTCTGCTAACACAAGATACTTCTAAAACTATCAGCGATTTCCACCATTGTCTCATAAAGAAAAACTCCTTTAAATACCAAAAAGGGGATGAAGGACAAACTTGCAGAATACAAGACCCTCCTTTAAGTTGAAGAAATAGTTTTTTGTTGTCCTCATTTCTCTCATGTGTAGAAGTCCAGGGAATGGAAACTTCATACACCAGCATCAGGAAACTGTGCTCTTGGCTCCCGCCCCTCTTCCTCATTTTACAGGCGGTCACGTGCCAGGTCCATGCTAACTGCCATCACTTCTGGAATCCTTCCAGTCCCCTCCGCTTACACTGCGCCTGACCCTCTCCTGGCCCTCAGTTCCTTCTGGCCTGGACTCTGCAGGTAACAAGCTGTTTAGAGCAGTGATAGTGACACCTTTTATGCACAGAAGGTAGAGAAGGGCCGTGGGGCTTTGAAGTGTGCATCTTGTCAATAACTTTGAGCTGAATTCCAAGCCCTGGCCCAGGGTCTCTTGTGAAGCACTCTGGCTGGAAACTGGATCCCAAGGCCATGGGCTAGCATTGCCTCTGGTCTCTGTCTCTCCTTTTCATCTGGGGGGACAGAGCAAAAGAGGAGACTGCTTGGAAGGCAAGCTAGGGGCTACCTTTCCCCACTGATAATGAGAACAGGGTGCTATGGAGGGGGAGAAGCAGAGAGGAATGCTGACGCCAAGATTGGGAGAGGAACTGTTAGCGCACAGCCATAAAGGGACTTATTTGCTCAACAAATGCTTCTTACAGTGTTTTCTTAAAATCGGGAGGTACTCTTCCCATACCCTATTCCCCTTCTTCTTGTCTCAGAAGCAACTGCTCTCATGAATTTGTGGCATCTCCAGTCTCTCTTAAACTGCTAGAACAAATAGCTGTATCCAAAACAATACCCTTTTGGTTTGTATGTGGTTAGAACTTATATAAGCGGTGGCAAACCACACGTAATATTCCGTAACTTGCTTCTTCTACCATGTGGTCATTGGATTTTCTAGATGCATCCATATTAAAATATATAGCTTTAGTTCACTTGTTATTTTGTTTTTTGGTTTTTTAAAAGATTTTTATTGGGGAATTGGGGGGATGGGAACAGCGCTGGGGAATTGGGGGAACGGGAACAGACAAGTTGCTGTCGTTTTGTTCTTCAGTCTAGTTGTGGAGGACATTGTTTCACTGGCCCAAGTTGGCACCATCATTGCGCTCTTCCTGGGCAAGGCAGATCAGTCGCCGGCTTCTGGAAGGCCACTCACGCTGGCTGCTGGCTACATACGGTAGCCCATGGCAACCCACTGCCACAGGGACTGCAGCCTACGCCATCGCCGGCGACTCATGGCAGCCCAGCTCCAGGTTGAGCTGTTGTTCAGCATCTTAGCTGTAGAGGGCAGTGTCACTGGCCCTCATATGTGGGATCCGAACCAGGGCCCTCTGGCATCCCAAGCCAGTTCTTAACCATCGCACCACTTGGCCGGCCCTAGTTCACTTGTTTCTAACTGCATGAATATATCATAGTTTATCCATCAAAAAAACCCCAAAACTGAAGGCAGCATGATGAGCAGTAAAAGGTGAGTCAGACAGCCATGGGTCCATTCCTAGCACCCACACTTACTTGCTGTGTCTAGTGAAGACCTTTCTGCTTTCTGGTTAGTCATGGGGATAACCCCACCTAACAAGGGAGTTGTGAGAGAGAAAGCAACTAAAGCAACATCTGGTACATAGCAAGTTCATTTCTAGTAATTCCATTTCCTTGCCCCTCTTGATTAACAGGGATGGGACGGGGCAGGGCGGGGGTGGGTGGTAGCAATAGTAAAGGACTAGATTCTGTGTAATGGATTTCTTTTAAATATTTTCATGTTTTAACATTGATTTCTTTTACAAACTTAACACATTTAATGATCCAGTCTGCAATCATGCAGGACCAATGAGCACAGTTTTCACTTTTTGAGCCTTGACCGTACCAGTGCAGGAGAAGCAGTCCTTCACTTCCCAGCTGCTCTGCAATCCTTCAGAGCCCTCACTGCCCAGCCATTCTCTGCCTTTCCCAAGGTTACTTTCCTGGCCAGGGGAATGGCAGCCATGAGCACTGCACAGCATCGGGTCGAGGTAGGTCTTTGGAGACAACCTATGGAAGAGGTGACTGTTGAGATCTGTGAAACCTTCACTTCCTCTGTGTTGTACAGGTTCCCAACCACAAGCACCAAAGCAGAGGGGCAGACAGCACGCACCCGGCAGCCAGAGCACCAGCCCAGCCATGTTCCCTGAGGTAAGTGGTGCTGCCCAGCCAGGCCTGACCACTCAGCATGGGGAGCATCAGGACAGCAAGGGAGCATCAGGGCTGGCTCACAGCCAGGGCCACCAGAGGGCTGGGTGAGTAGGTAGAGAATGCAGGGCTTGTGTAGAGGGGCCACTGGACTGGGAATTGAAACACTGCCTTGGCCACTGACTTCTGGCAATGACCACCAGTGAGCAACTGCCCTGACCTGCAGGGTGTAGGAGGGAGGCTGGCTCTGCACGGCCTCCCGTGCTTCCTTCAGCTCTGACTTGAAACTTTGACCATTTGGTCCTGGACTGAATTGGCATTGTGCAGGCCTGAAGCTCTGGGTGTTTTGGAAGTGGAAGGAATATTTGTGGTAGAGTTTGGTGGAGGAGCCCTCAGAGGGTGACAGGCCTTGGTGTAAGGGAGGGGGAAGAACAGGGGAGAAAGCGTGCGTTGGGAGGGGCACAGTGATTTGTAGAGGGGCCCCACGGGGGCAGGAAGTTGGGGTCCCCAGACAAGGGCTGAGGAGGGAAGACAAGGGCCAGTGAGCAGGTGGTGGAACTAGGCGGGGAGGAGAAGCAAGGAGAGATGAGGGGCAAGGAGGGCTCTCAGCCCAGGAGGGGCAGCCCAGAGGGTGAGAGAGAATCGACGTTTGAAAAGGAAAGTTACCTACATCCCAGGCCCAGGAGGTGTGGCCTTGGAAGAAAAGCAGGGACAGTGACAGGGTGTGGCCCAGGCTTCAGGGTCAGCCTCACAGAGCTGCTGCTCAGAGAAAGGGCTGTCAGACGCAGTGATGCAGTGATCGGAAGGCCTCAACACAGTGCTTTCCCTCCCTCCCTCCGCAGATCAGTGAGCGCCAGGAGTTCTCAGTCTCTGACTTAGACTTCTACTCGGAAAACTACAGCTCTAGCTATGAGTTCGGGGCAGAATACGAGAATGGCTCATGCAGTGAGTCACCGCCCTGCCCCCAGGACTTCAGCCTGAATTTTGACCGGGCCTTCCTGCCAGTCCTCTACAGCCTCATCTTCGTGCTGGGGCTGCTGGGCAATGGCGCCGTGGCAGCCGTGCTGCTGAGCCAGCGCACGGCCCTGAGCAGCACCGATACCTTCCTGCTGCATCTGGCCATGGCCGACGCACTGCTGGTGCTGACCCTCCCCCTCTGGGCAGTGGATGCTGCGGTCCAATGGGTTTTCGGCTCTGGGCTCTGCAAAGTGGCAGGCGCCCTATTCAACATCAACTTCTATGCGGGGGCCTTCCTGCTGGCCTGCATCAGCTTTGACCGCTACCTGAGCATCGTGCATGCTACCCAGCTCTACCGCCGGGGGCCCCGGGGTCGTGTGGCCCTCACCTGTGTGGTCATCTGGGGGCTCTGTCTGCTCTTTGCCCTCCCCGACTTCATCTTCCTGTCAGCCCACTATGACGACCGACTCAATGCCACCCACTGCCAGTACAACTTCCAGCAGGTGGGCCGCACGACTCTGCGCCTCCTGCAGCTGGTGGCTGGCTTCCTGCTGCCCCTGCTGGTCATGGCCTACTGCTATGCCCGCATCCTGGCAGTGCTGCTGGCCTCCAGGGGCCAGCGGCGGCTGCGAGCCATGCGGCTGGTGGTGGTGGTAGTGGTGGCCTTTGCCCTCTGCTGGACTCCCTACCACCTGGTGGTGCTGGTGGACACCCTCCTGGACCTGGGGGCCTTGCCGCGCAACTGCAGCCGAGAGAGCCATGTGGACGTAGCTAAGTCAGTCACGTCAGGCCTGGGCTACATTCACTGCTGCCTCAACCCGCTGCTCTATGCCTTTGTGGGTGTCAAGTTTCGCGAGCGCATGTGGACACTCCTCCTGCGCCTGGGTTGCCCTGGCCAGAGTGGGCAACAGAGGCAGCCACCGTCTTCCCGCAGGGATTCGTCCTGGTCTGAGACCACAGAGGCCTCCTTCTCGGGCTTGTGAGACTAGGCTGGGGGCTCCCCTTTCACCATGGAGCCTGACTCCCTCACATTCCAGGCTCCTCCCTCCCTCTGCCCTTGGCCTTGCAACCCAGACATACACTCCTGGGGTTCCCCGGCAGCCCCAGCACCACCAAGTCTCCCAGGGCACCACCCTCCCTGGCTCTGGGGACTTTGCCCTTACTGTTCCTTCGTTGCCAAGCCCCACCCTGCCCCTTCAGAGTTGGCTGCCCCAAGTCCCACCAGCCTCCTCATTCAGTAACTAGACCTTGGCCTTCCCCATATGCAGGGAGCACGGGGCAAACAGCATGGTGGAAGCTGCCCCTTTGGGGCCTTGGCCCAGGGCTCCAACCCAGCGGTGACTGCCTGTGGCCCCCAAGACCTCTGTATTTGCTTGCTGTTACTTTTATGTCTAAAATTCTGCCTAAAACTTTTCAATAAACGAGACAATCAGGACAAAGTTGTGGGAGTAGTACATCATTACAGCCAGCTCTTCCCAGGCTCTGGAGATGTACTTCCTGCCAGCCGATGACGCCTATTAATACCTGTCTGGCCATCTCTCTGCCCTCCTGGGCACCCTTGTCACTCACAGGGAAGCACCTAGGTACATGGGTGCAGGGTAAGCAGTGAGTCAACTGGCTGGCTGGACACTTTGGGGCAGGGGCATTCCAACATAAAAAAGACATAGTCCCTGTAGCCCAGAAGCTGAGGCTGGCAGGAAAGTGTGCTGAGAATGCACAATACCGAGCCGTCTAGGCCACGAGGCAAACACGAGACACACGCAGTGAACCTGAAGCTCAGCACTGTGGCTGCAGCCATTTGGGAAGGCTTCCTGAAGACCGAGATGTGCAGACTGTAAAGGGAAAGTCCTATTTCCAAGGGCAGAGAGAAGGAAAGATGGTACTTCCAGGCAAAAGGGCAGGCAGAAGAAAAGTACAGTGACTGAACACAGCAATGCTTATTGGGGGAATCGTAAGGGGTCCCAACTGGCTGGAGTTAAGGATTCAGGTAGGGCAAGGCTTGAAAATAAGAGTGAATGTGAGTTTGGGATCAGGTCATGGTATCAGAGACCAATTAGGAGGCCAGCAGAGGTTAGTGGTCAGAGGTGATGCCGGCTTTTACTAGGCAAATGTTATGGGGATCAAAAAACAGTGACTTACAGTTATGAGCACATAGGCTACCTGCAGGAGGCATGTGTGGGCTGTAGGAAGCATTTTCCCATGACTATAGCAGGGGTGGAAGTGAGTGGAAGAAATGACCAGTGCTCCGCAGAAGGACGAGTGACAGGGCTACTGAGTTAAGGCAGAGGTGGGACCACTGCACTGTCAGTTCCCCTAATTAAGTCACCAATGTGCCATGAGCCAGCTTCCCAGGCCAGATGGACCTTTTGTGTGTCTGCAGATATGGCTAGAGGTGGGACTATAGAGGAGGGACCCAAGGAATCAGCTGGGGAAGCTCTTAGCAGCCTGTGTACACACCCAGTGCCATCTACCCTGCTGCTTAGGCTTCTGTTAATGGCCATTAAAAGAACACTCAGGGGCCAGCCGAGTGGCGCGATGGTTAAGAACTGGCTTGGGACACCAGAGGGCCCTGGTTCGGATCCCACATGTGAGGCCCAGTGACACTGCCCTCCACACACACACAAAAAAAGAACACTCAGCACCTGCAAAATGAAAGAACAATGGGAGGAGAGGAAACGACAGAATACATCCAGCCTCTAAAAAGTAGCAGTGATGACAGACTAGTAAAGATGTGTGTGGCAGTCTGAAGAATGAGTCCCCAGAGACGTCCACACCCTAATCCCCAGATTTCGAGAGCGTTACCTTCTGTGGATGGGAATTGAGGTTGCCAATCAGCTGACCTTAAAATAAGAGCCTCCTGGGATGGTCGAGTGGCGCGATGGTTAAGAACTGGCTTGGGACGCCAGAGGGCCCCGGTTCGGATCCCACATATGAGGGCCAGTGACACTGCCCTCTACAGCTAAGATGCTGAACAACAGCTCAACCTGAAGCTGGGTTGCCTTGAGTCGCTGGCGACGGCGTAGGCTGCAGCCCCTGTGGCGGTGGGTTGCCATGGGCTACCGTGTGTAGCCAGCAGCCAGCGTGAGCGGCCAGCAGCCGCAGTGAGCGGCCGTCCAGAAGCCGGCGACTGACCTGCCTCACCCGGGAAGAGCACAATGATGGTGCCAACTTGGGCCAGTGAAGCAACGTCCTCCACAACTAGACTGAAGAACAAAACGACAGCAACTTGTCTGTTCCCCTCCCCCAATTCCCCAGCACTGTTCCCATCCCCCCAATTCCCCAATAAAAAAATCTAAAAAAATAAAATAAAAAAAATAAGAGCCTCCTGGATTATCCAGGTGGGCCCAATGTTATCTGCAAAGTGAAAGAGGGAGGGATAAGGGGAGAGTCAAAGAGATGTTGCTGTAAGGATAGAATATTATAAAATTCACAGAAATAAAGAAACTAACTCAAATTATTACTTATATCATAGGAGATTTTATACTTTGGTTTTTTTAAAAGATTTTTATTGGTGAATTGGGGGGATGGGAACAGTGCTGGGGAATTGGGAGAAGGGGAACAGACAAGTTGCTGTCGTTTTTGTTCTTCAGTCTGTGGAGGACGTTGCTTCACTGGCCCAAGTTGGCACCATCATTGTGCTCTTCCCGGGCGAGGCAGATCAGTCGCCGGCTTCTGGACGGCTGCTCAGGGCGGCTGCTGGACGCTCACACTGGCTGCTGGCTACACACGGTAGCCCATGTCAACCCACTGCCACAGGGGCTGCAGCCTACGCCGGTGACTCACGGAAGCCCAGCTCCAGGTTGAGCTGTTGTTCAGCATCTTAGCTGTAGAGGGCAGTGTCACTGGCCCTCATATGTGGGATCCGAACCAGGGCCCTCTGGCGTCCCAAGCCTGTTCTTAACCATCGTGCCACTCGGCTGGCCCGGAAATTTTATACTTTTATATTATTCATATTTAATACAAGCAACATTTAATAATACTACATTTGGGGTGACTTCCTGTCAAGGTGGCAGAGTAGGTAAACTGTGCTCACCTCCTCCACAGTCACATCAAAATTACAACTAAATTATAGAACAGCCATCATTGAGAACCACCTGAAGACTAGTCGAACACAATTCCTGTAACTAAGGGTATGGAGAAGAAGCAGGAAAAGACAAGGAAATGGACCCCCCCCAGGGCCTCCGGAGTGGAACGCAGCCCAACCCGCACCTACATTTTAGCCAAGTGAGGTCTGCGCCAGACTTGTGACCTGCAGAGTTCCAAGAAACGTGTGTTGTTTTAAGTCACTAAGCTTGTGCTAATTTGTTATAGCAGCAGTAGGGAACAAATATATCATGATTCCAGTCTACACCCTAGATAGCTCCCAGAGGTGGGGTGGCAGGGTGCTGCAGAAGTACCTGTGAGCAGTCACAAAAATCAAAGAAACCCAGGATAGAGGATGCCCTTCCAGGCACATCCCAGACAGCATCGCATGTCCAGGGAACTTGGACAAATGACCCAAGGGCTTGTTCTGCTCTCGGCACACGCTGTCAATAAACAAACTTTGCTAACAAATGAAGTGCAGAAAACATTTTCTTGGTTTTCAAAAAAAATTATTAACAATAACATGGGCTCAGATGGCTTCGTTCAATGTCAAGAGAACCTAAGTTAACAAACAATACATGTTTATCTTTTCTTTCTAGGTAGATATGACAGGTTCCACCTACTGGCAGCCTTGCTTTTGAATGAACTGCTGCCTTTAGCATGTATTCTCTTTCCAGCCTTACTCTCATTATCTCAAGTGACGACAACTCTTGGAATTCATTTCTCTTTTGCATTGTGTTCTACATGTTAAACTAAGGCATCTAAGTAAGACCTAAGGCAATCTGGAGGGCTTCCGAAGGCACAAAATGCTTAGCGATAGAATCATTGCTTAAGGAACAATTGGATTAATAACATGAAGCTTTAAAACGGGCTTAAATGCTAATATTCATAACTTCATAAAACAAAGATATTTTTCTAAAACTACTTTGCCAGTAGAGGACTGAGCTCACAGATACCCTCTCAGATAACCTCAAGGATTTTGCATTAGTTTCCTGACAAAAAATTCCTGGCTGAGCGTTCTCATCACTCCCTTATGTTTGATCCCAGGCATCTGGCACTGAATAATTTTATAATACTGCTGCATGAACTTAGCAAATGGCCTCACATGGGGCCAAAAGGGGGTGCCGTCTTTCCGAGTTAGTGGCACCATGGACAGAGGCCCCTTGCACAAGGCGTACATGAAGCGGTTGGTGTCCAGCGACTTGGTGTAGCGGCCGATCTTAAAAAGGAAAGAGCACACAGCAGAGGAATCAGTCACTGTAACTCAGCCTCCTCTCCCCACAGCTGGCCTTGCGCCCACAGCCAGAGTTCTTGGAGGTCCTCAGAGAGGGGGGCACCAAGTAGTGGCATTGGTCAGGCTGCCTCAAAAACTGGAGGAAGAGGGCATGGAAAGGACTAGAGAGGTTTTACTCCTCGAATCAGAGTGCCATGTATGGGTACTTCCTAATAAAATCACTGAAGAGCCACTTGGAGGCTATAGAAAAGACATAATTGGAAAGTCTGAGCAGAAGGATCTTACCTGGATTTGCAACGAACACACTCGTAATAAATCTTGTAGTAAATCTTGTCGTTGTGGTAACAGGTGACCATCAGCAGCTCCAGGTGCACGATGTTCGCTTTCCTGGCATAATACTTCCATGTGTTACCATGAGCAACACGGATGCCATGGAACATCCAGGAAGCCGCATGGCATAGTTCCTGGATCAAAGTATCCCAGACTCGGTGTTGGAGGAGTATTGAAGAGAAACATGAGCACTGAAAGCAAATCCCGACCAGCCCTAGACTCTCAACCCTGTAGACAGAAGCCATCTTATATAAGCACATGCACACAGACATGCGTGCTCTCATCCCACGATTCTGAAAGTGAAAATTCCTACCCACGTCAACCTGATTTTGTTTATGGCTGAGCCTTGGGTAACTGAGTCTTGTCAGAGCAGCTCCGACCTGCTCATCTTTCTATGGGACACTGCTAGAAATACACCCGGCCAAGACCTGGTTTCTGCCCTCCAGAGATGTAAGTGGACAAGGTGGAGGACAATGAACATGGCTGTGGGACTTGGTCAGGAGAAGCGCCATGGAGAAACTGGGACCTGAGCTGGGCCCTTAACAATTGACTGGATTTGCAAAAGCAGGAAAGCCACTCTAGGTGTGAAGAATGTGAGCAAAGATTGAGTCCAGGAAAGTGCGTGGTGTCTCCTTAAAGCCAGTGTGCAGCAAGTATGGCTGGAGCACTGAGAGCCAAGACTGGCCAGGGGCGGGCTGCAACAGCCTCAAGAGCCGGGATCCAGGCACTGGCAAGCCCTCGGTTTCCTAGCCAGAAGGTAATGCAGCGGTGT